GCAAAGAAAACTATTTCACTGGGCTTATACGCCCTGTCAAGGATGTGTGTGCTGTGCCTTGGTTACGAAGCGCTTTAATTTGATTTGCCGCTGACGCTGTTGATTGGTTAACATACCTTCAACAGTCTGCGCGAACTCATTTACGCAACACACGTACGTACGTACACAAGTTCGTACGTACGTCACGTCCCAAAATGTAAACACGGAAATTGTTAGATATTATAGTAACCTCTGAAATATTTAAATTCAGGGTAGATGGATCTACAACAATAATTCAATTTTAATTTTAAATACAATGATAGGTACGATTAATTGACAAATAGTGAGGCCTGCCCAGTGTGTGCCGACCCAGCTGAGACTCAGGAGTCGGAAAAAATGTATGTGATCTTACATCAATAGGCCATATATAGGAATAGGCCTATTATTATATTTTCTTACCTAAAAACACCAATTTTATAGCTAATACAATAAAACAAATTTATTTGCAAATAGTGTAAAATAATTGTTGATATTTTAAAAAGTATAATAATGACTCTGATAAATTATTTATTTGAAATAGGCCTCTATTCTACTCTCTTCATATAAAAAAAATGTTGGAAATCACGTAAATTCAGGATTTGGTGCTGAATTACTGTATAATGCCTGTATAATGCCTTGTCTTCTGGTGAATAGCATGGACAGGGGTGACAGGCAACACGTACCCCAACTATTTTAAGGGGGTGGTCCCCATCACGTTCCTAATGAAGTCAAGAAATACCTGGAAATTGTAGAATTGAACTGCATAAATGACCAGATTTTAACGAAAGACCACTTTACAGGCAGATAACATCTTATTTTATAACAAGATACCGGTGTTTTCTGTCCACAAACATCTGAATTAACTGTAATACATGACTCGAGTGCGTGCCTTTATTATACAAGTATGATAAAAAGTGTGTAAAGATAAATTGGTTTTCGGCTCATGAAGTAGGTAAAGTAGATAAATCGAAGACAATTATGTTGCTATATTTCTATTATCGCAGCGATTCATATTAGATACAAGATACAAGATAGCTTTATTGTCAAATTAAAATATGAAATTAGTTTTTCTCATGTCAACAAAAGTACATAAACAACAGAGAAACATACGAAACATAACATGACGAAATGGAGAGCACCTTCTTTTCTCAATGCGCACTACATACTGTCAATCACTATGGTTGCGCAATCTTTTCTATTTTGAAGCTGATACATTTATCTCTCATAAAATATCAAACATATTAATATTTTCCACCAAGAAAAGTTTCGAATTTAATGGAACATTTACATTTTTATTTCAACTTCAATTTTCATAAATTGGCCAAAATTCGCCAATTATAATTTTAACAGATATTAATTATTAAATGATTGCTATTAAACAACTAGAGTGCTGACAAGATGGCGGAGCAATGCAGTGTTGTGTATGTGTACCATCCAAGATGGCCGCCGTAGGATAGCGTCAACTTCAGGCTTAGTATAGATATTATTACCATAAATAAGCCCTCTGACTGACTATTATTTCATTATTGATAATTAGTTTTGATAATAACAAATTATTAAACTGTCGTAGCCAAAAAGAGGCCAAGTAGAGCATCTTATTCAAATATTAAAAAGAATTAAAATCGTGTACCTTACACCCATACACCGCAACGCTCGAGTTTCAAAATACGGGTAACTAGCTGTACTGAACTTTCTGTGTAAATTGAGGGCGCAATTGAAAATGATAGTGCTCAGGGGAAATTTGATTGGCTGAATCTTTGGCAGCCATCTTGGATGGTACACACACACTGTCAGCTCTGCGTAATTCGAACATCGAATACATTGCTGTTAGCGCTCTAGTATTCTTATTATATCTCTATGTGTTAGACCATGGAGGTATTATTATACCTCCATGGTTAGACACAGAACGCGCATCGCGTATGACACAAAATGGCTTCTAAATTCTCAATGTCGCAACTCTTTCTATGGCTCTGCGCTCCCGCATTTTGCGCAGCTCCTATGCTCTATCTACGGCTCTGCGCTCCCGCAGAGCCATATATATAAAGAGTTGCGACATTCCGCTCCTTGGTTTACGAAAGTCACGTGGTACACACCGTCCATTTTGTTTCATAATCTTCCCGATGAACACATGCAAAGTATATGTGTTACGTACACCTATCCTCTGGCCTAGGCCTATATGGAAATTATAAATTATAGGGCAAATCAATATTTGTATATTATAGGAAAGCTATTACGTTACAACTAAAAATTAAATGAAACATATATATGTATATATTATAGATAAATCTAATGGAGAGTTAAATAGGCAATTTAACCATTAGGATGCGTACCAGTACTTAAGCACAATCATTGCGGATGTCACTCCAAAAATGACAAGGCAATTTTATTCAACGTTTCATTTTTATTTAAGCATCATCAATAATAATAGTATTATTATCATTATTCCTGATGATGATCAAGTAAATTGATTTTTTTTTTTTAAACTTTTTGGGCGGAAGTAAATAACTTACGTGGGTCCTTAGCACCCATTTAAAAAGGTACTTGCGTTCTTGAGGTTTTCTCCGATTTTTACGTATTATAATAATCTTAATTACATTTTTATTAAATTGTTGAAATTGTTTTCTGTATCGTGGACTGCCATGGCTACCATGGCTGCAAAAACCAATCTGATAGTACAAAGCTTTTCCGATTTCCGACTAATGAAAACAGAAGGAAAATATGGGAAGCAAAAGTTAGGCGATTAAATTGGAAATCTTCGACCAACTCACGTCTTTGTGGGGTAGGAAGTATAGGCCTGCCTTGGCTTAAATTCTATTTTTGTTTTTCTTTTTCAACTATTAAATTTTAAGCATTTATCGCCGTGCGAGCTATTGGCCTTCATACTGTACAAATAGCCATAATGGTGTAAGCTTATAACAGATTTTGAAAATTGTTGTTACGGAAGCGTCTGAATGGATATTCGTCACATAGCCAGAGCTAGCACCTGACTTATACTATTTTATATTTATAAATAATAATAATCAAATTAATAATATAAGATTTGTACAGGGCTCGTTCATATTCAAATTTAAAGAGCAACAATCTATATATACCCTATCGGATTTTAATTACATTTTGATATACATATTTAATTAATTTTTGCTAGTCGTCACATATCATTTATTTGCAAAAATAACAGGAGCTAATTAAGGGTCTATATGGCAGGATTGCTTAATTGAAGAATGCTTGCCATAGAGGGGCTGTCTCGGTCTATCGGCGAGGATTAAAGAACTGCATAAAAATAGTAAATTATTACAGTATTTATAATATGAAATTGGATATAAAGTAGTGAAATCATAAAAAAAAAATCTATAAATACAGTTACATGAAATTCGACTGCTAAAAAGATTAAATGGAATTAAACTATACAGGAGGGTGCTAACTGTATTTATACAATATTATACACAGGAACGCACATCACGTTAGACACAGAACGCGCATCGCGTATGACACAAAATGGCTTCTAAATTCTCAATGTCGCAACCATAGAGGTATAATAAGAATACTAGAGCGCTAACCGCAATGTATTCGATGTTCGAAATACGCAGAACTGTGTGTGTACCATCCAAGATGGCTGCCATAGATTCAGCCAATCAAATTTCGCCTAAGCGCCGTCGTTTGCAATTGCGCCCTCAATTTACACAGAACGTTCAGTACATCATGTTTAAAACTCGAGCGCTGCGGTGTATAGGCGTAATCCACACGATTTTAATTTTCATTTCTTGGTACTTTATTTTTGAATAGGATGCTCCACTTGGCCTCGTTTTGGCTACGATAGTTTAATAATTTGTTATTATAATTACCCATAATTATCATTAATAAAATAATAGTCAGTCAGAGGGCTTTTGCCAGGACTAATGCTTTAAAACACACAGCTTTTAATAGTTTCCCTCGACTCTGGAATGCTTTACCTGCTAATAAAAGAAATGTATTACTCTTTAACATTAATAATTTTTTGATGGAACTGAATGATTATTATAACAACGTTTAAGGGATTTGGGAATTTGCTCGATTGCTCTCTCTGTGGTTTATTTTATCTGTTCTTTTTATTAGGCCTTTTTAATCTTTTTGTAATTATATTATGTTTTCTTATACCGTACTGCATTTTAATGTTTATAATATATTTTTTTTTAAATTATGTATATTGAATTGCGATATTGTATTTTTGTTGTCATGAGGAGAGCCCCTCGACAGTAGATCTTCTACTTTTGGGCAATCCTGCCACATGGCAACAATTCTATTTTTGAAATTTTATATTTGTATATTTATATATTTATATCTGGCGAAATAAATGAAATGAAATGAAATAATATGGATACTAAGCCTGAAGGTGGCGCTTTACTACGACGGCCATTTTGGATGGTACACATACATAACTCTGCATTGCTCCGCCATCTTGTCAGCACTCTAGTTGTTTAATAGCTCTATGGTCGCAACTCTTTCTATCTATGGCTCTGCGCTCCCGAGTACTGTACTGCCCTCACTAGCGTGTACTTGGTTTTTTTTTGTTTTTTTGACGTGACGTCACCAAAAGGAGCTACACCTTCTTCTTCTCGATCGCGAGAGGGTATCAAAGAGTATAAATAGAACAAGAGAGCAAAGTCCCGTTCGTAAAAACGTCATGCCTGTGTAGGACGCCAACTAACGGTTGTATATTCTTTTTATTACCCAGTGCAGCGCTGCGCAGCGCGGTACACTTCAAAAATTGACAAACTGCTCGGGATTTAACAGTAGCAAATCTTCTAATAATATTTTGTTGCTGTTTAGAATCTGTCTCTTATACACATCTAGATGTGTATAAGAGACAGGTGCAGTACTGGGTAATAAAACATATACAAGCGTTAGTTGGCGTCCTACACTAGCTGCGTAGAGCGTATCGTTTTTTTACGCTCCCAATGAGCGTTGTTGGCTCTCTTGTTCTATTTATACTCTTTGAGGGTATTTATTAACTGCATGCTACCATTACCGCGAGTCGAGCTTCTGGACGACGACTTACGACGGAACAAAAAAAAAAGAAAAATCGTCATTTGAAACCCTAGCCTAGGCCAGTCTAAGCTATGTTATATATTAAAAAAGAAAGTTAGAAGAGGAACTAACTTGATGATGTTTTTCAATAACAATTAAATGAAGAATTGAATGAAGAACAGCTAAAAAAATAATAATAAGTAAGTAAAATAATACAAAGTATAATTAGGCCCCAGGCCTAGAGGATGGCCTAGGCCTAGCTAGGCTAGGCTAGGGCCAGCACGGAGCGCGGGCCTAGCCCTAACCTAGCCTATATTATATATAGGCCCTAGGCCTAGCCCCTAGTTATAACTAGGCCTATAGGCTAGGCCTAGTAGTTAGGGCCTATAGCTAGAAACATAAAAATTAGAAATGTCTCACATTTTTAGCCTACTCTCTGAGGGAGAGGGTTTCTAGAAGGCCTAGGGATCTGTGATTTTGAGGGAAATTCTTTTTTTGTGACCCAATTAGACTGATCGTGCAATATAATAGAGGAGAAATTTAAAGTATGAAGATTTTTTGCGAAAATATTGTCCGGAAATATGTGTTGTATGTTTTTATATCATATCTTACCACTGGAATGGATGGGTTTCTTATGAAAGCTGGTTTCGTCATTGGTCAGATTGCAAATCGCCTCTATTCCATATTATTGTGAATATCAACTAATCATAGCCTGGAATGGTAAGCTTTAAAGGCCAGAAATAATTCTAAAACCTAGCTAGTGAAAAAAAGTAGACTGCTTGATTTTTGCGGTTCTAAGCGGATTTTTATATTCTCATTTTCAGTCAAATTGGTGAAATTTTTTGTCGAGATTATATCTAATAATAATGTATTTGAACACATAGTGAAGAGAAAATGTATGCCCCGAGCTGGCCTTTAAGGCTAATAATGCGTCTGCATTGAGTCTACTTAGTGTAACAGTGGTTTAATAATGGTTGAAAATGAGATGTAAAAAAGTAATGGTTCAGGTCTCAGTCTGGTAAAGAATTAATAATGGAGTTGAATGGGTAATCAACTTCTGGCTTCCACTGCTACATCAGCCTTGATCCAGATTATTGGAAGTAATTTTATAGACTGCTGCTGGTCCAGATGCTGAAGTGTAATAAATAATGTTCAAGGATGGATATCGATGGGTAAATTAGGCTAGGCCTATACAACACACACTACAGCACCACAAAGTATAATATAACAGGACATAAACGGAGCAACGTAAAGTAAAATATAACTGATTGGTTGATGATTTATTCAGAAATAACAGAGAGACTGGTCTGCAGGTCCAGTCCCAAACAAAACTAGATTTGAACTCGTCACACTGAGGACAAGTTTTAGGTGATCCGCTTTTCAGGCAAAAGAAATCTCTCGGCGCTTTAAATAAAAGTATGAATTATGGGAATCTACCGTAGCAAGGATTTTGAAACAGTGCAAGACAAGTCTGCCACACTCTCTTTGGGGTTCCAAAAAAAAAACTGAAGAAAGAAAGAGGTGGTGGAGGAGTCAGAAAAACATTCATTTTGACCATGATGACATCATCAAAGTGAAAAATGAATGACACATTGTGAAAGCAAACAGTCTCAGCTATAACATGCTCAAAGGTGGGAGATGATTGATCAACAATAAGCGAGATACGTTAAGTGAAAATAAAAATTATGACGTTATAAATAAAAAATCAGTTTAAAAAAATTTAGATGGCAATATGATGATGTCACAATGTCTGATCAGCCATAATGATCTATAAAATCATATCTACAACTCATATGTTTTCAGAATATGTAATAAAAATTGGGTTTCATCTTTCATCCTAAGGATGAGCATATAAATTTTAACGCATGCTAAAATGCGCAAATGGAAAATTGAATACATGACATTCAACTTTGACCCAAAGTTTATGCTCACTGAATATGATTCAGAAATGACGAATGGGTAAGATGATATGGGGTCATCAATGTTTTGAGGAAAGAAAGATGAAGGGGGTCAGAAAAAAACCTTTATTTTGACCATGATGAAATACTAGTCCATATAGCAAAACAAAATATCAACACAGATTTTACAAGGTCAGTCAACTATGGCATCTTAGGGTTATAAATGTTAATTTATTTTCTAAGGTAGAGAGGGGGGCTTTGCAACAAGTTCCACCTATTTTGCAAGTTCAACTTGCTATACTTTCAAAATTACACCCGTGGTCCAAATAGTGTTGTACATTAATCCCTCAACTCTTTTTCGTGTTTGCAGTTTGTTTTATGCCATTTTTGGCCGTCGTCCCACTTTTTACTTATGGCTTGTCATTACAGAGACAAAATATGTAAAAACAGTCATGAAAAGATATAAACAAAGGAACAAGAAAAATTAGTATCAATCACTACAATTGCAATTGCAGTCATTATTAAATAAATTGAATACAATAAAACATTAAAAGAAATTGTTACCTTCTTGCCTTCTTGTTGAACTGGATGATGCCGGAGGGGAGAAAGGACTTGGCATTTTACCACTTGGATTAATTTGGTTTATAATAACCTTGTGGAGGTTGATGAGAGGCATCTAACTCAATCCGATCAAAGTTTTTCTGAAGATTTATCTAAATACACCTCACTATGAGGGAAAATCTAAACCAATCATTTTACCAGCCCGACGGATGAAAATTTCAAGGCGTCCTTTATCCACTCCAATAGCATTACCAGCCAGCAAGGGAGACAATACGAGTAAGCACTACATTACAGATCTATAGAAAGAAAGCAACATAGGTTCACTGGAATTAAGTTGAAATAAAGTTCTCAAGCAGTACATTCTAGGATTCAATTTTTTACACATAAAATCAATTCAATATGGTCACTCCTGCTCAATTTATTATTAAAAACAATGCCCATGGCAGATACTTATATGGTTAAAAATGATTTCAATTTCTTTTTCTTTGATTAGTTGAAATTCAAATTTATATTGGTCCTAAAGTCGATTATCATCTCTTTTGTTTTTGTAGTAAGTAATTATTGTCACAAAATTCAACAAACCTTTTTATTTTGTTACGATAATGTGTCATCTGAAACAATAAGACCGATTGTGCTTGTACCATCAGCGAATTTTACAACTAGGCAAAGCTCATTAGAGGACCTGTAGTCAGCAGTATACAAGGAATACAGTGTAACTAAGGCGCTTTAATTGTAAACTGGGGACACTCGTATCAGAAGTTGCTATTTCAAATTCAAGATCATTTATTGTTTCCTATCACAAATAAAATTTAATATTAAATGTACAATTGGACAGGGGAAATCTTTTATGCAGTGTGTTTCTTCTTATGGATATATAGATACATAAATAAGATTGTTGTTGAATTTGATTGTTGCATTGTTGTGTTCAACTTTCAGGTTTTTTTGCAATAATTTTAAGTGGTCTCTTCAACTCCGTATAGCCCCCTGAAATTTAAAGTCTCTCTCATCCCGGTTCCTAAGATGTCACCTATTGTCACTTTAAATGATTTTTGCCAGTTACACTCATCTCGATTGTAATGAAATCGTTTGAACACCTAGTCAATATAAAGCATGTTATCTCTCCAGGCATTTTTAGGCACATATATTACAAATGACTTTAAATGAGGGGAAAATGTTCATCAGTGTGTGAAAAAGACCCGGCAGCAACTTTATTTTCAGCGTAGATTGAGGTCCTTCAGGAGTAGTTCCCCCCTCCCCATGATGAGTCAATTCTATAGGTCAGTGGTAGATCACTACGTAGTTTCTATCCCTCTGCCATTAGGTCATTGAACCAGTCACTAGTTTGAAATTTCAGTATTTTATGTTTGTTTTTGTTAACGAACCAAATTGAATTTCATTTTGTATGTGTATTGTACATGTATGACAAATACATTTTTTGAGTATTGAGATAATGGTTCTTCAAATTGGCGTACTGACATTTTTCCCAAAACTAGTGTAAGAAAAAATTGATTGTAAACAAATTTCACAACTTGTATATAGAAAATGACAGGTAATAATGAAACAGTGGATAAAATTCAATAAAATAGGCAATGGTAATTAATTCTATTTGTAAATAGATGTAAGCATTTAGATTATTGGGAATACTCTATTGAGTCAGAAGTTCAACCTAAAGTTGACGAATTTCAATTTTTAGTTGTTTATGTACATAGTAAACTAACATGTCATGCTTAAATTAGTTATATATGTTGTAAATCAAGCAAACTTCTTGGTTTTATTACCAGGTGTAGCAGGATTATGTCCTGGGTAGCTATACTAAATTTATACAAAGCTTTGGTATTACCAGTTTTCACCTATTGTTGTTCAATGTGGACACCAGTTGAAAAATCCCATAAATAGAATTGAAAGCATACAGAGAAAGGCAACAAGAATAATAATGTTTAGGAAAGAAGATTCATGGGAGACATCTTATTGCTACAGGTTGTAAACTCTTAACATCATGAGTATTGATGATTTATTAAGCTACATAACTTACATAATAGGATTTAAGATTTTGAATGGTTTTTGTCCTCCTACATTTAATGAATATGTTAAAATTAGTGAAAGGTGTGAGGGTAGTGCGAAAAGTAATACATTTCTAAATTCTGTTTTTGTATCTTTCGGGTAGTGCGAAAAGTAATACATTTCTAAATTCTGTTTTTGTATCTTTCCCTAGGCTTTGGGAACAATTACCACCTGTGATTCAAAATTCTTCATCAATCTCATCTTTTAAATCTGCTCTAAGTACTATATTTCATTATATTAGTTGTACTTTAATTGTATTTTCTTTGTAATTTTTAGTTTCCTTCTTCCATTTTTGTTTTTGGTGTACAGTTCTTTTATTTATAAGGTGGAGTGAGTGCAGTATCAGTTTGGGCATGTGCCTATTCTCACTCCAGGCTATAATTGCTCTTGATGATTGCCAAATAACTATTATTATTATTATTATTATTGTTATTATTATTATTATTATTATTATTAATATTGTTATTATTAATAATTGAATAGACCTGTCTAAACAACAAATATGATTGAAATCTGCTGACCCTGTCTATTCAGCCTACTACTGTACTACAGTAGGCATCTTATGCTTTTTAAAAAATATAGCTCTTGATTTGATTTTATTTCAGTTGCATAGGTTTTTTTCTTTTTTGATGGTATACAAAGATTGGTCACTCCACTAAATAACACTAAATTGAGATTCTTGATCACAATTCCTGATGATGACATAATTAATGTTGAAATATTGAATCCTGACATGATGGTGTGCATTTTGATACTTGGAGTATGTATCATAATGTCTTGTTCACAATTTTATACATTTTTTTCTATATCAAGCTTGCATCTAATGAAACAAGTATTACTGTAATTTTTTTTAAATTAAATAGGTTGTATTTTTTTTATTTTTCAGGTTGATTCATGATGCCTAAAGGGAGCTTAGTATTTATAATTGTACTTGCTATTATACAAGGTAATAAACATTTTACTTTCAATTATGTTGATTGGTAAATAGAATTGATACATGGGTACATGATTATGGACAGTAACATTGTGAGTAAAGGTGGGCTCAATATGATATAAAAATCACACATGATTTATTATTGGTAGGATTTGTGCAAATGTTTATTCCATTGAAACACTGAAAGTGCAAACCATTTAATTTTAATCATTTATTTATTTACTATGCGAGAAAGATTCTGTTTTGAAGGCAAAGAGAAAGCAAGGCAAAGAAAAAGCTAGACAAGGCAGCGCTTTATATCAAAACCGATGAAATCGAAGCAGACAGAAAAGAACGCATTCAACTAAAATCTGTTGCTGAATCTGCCTACAAAGAAAAAATTCGTATGCATAGGGCCTAGCTAGGTATACAGTATTTTCATTTTACAGTAGTTTGGAACGATATCGGAAGTGGGAGTGCTGGCAGTGGCCTGCTAAGGACTACAATTTATTTGAAAATATCTTGGGTCTGATCGTCCACACCAGTTGGGCCAATCGTCTGTCACCCGAAGTTTTCATTACGATGATCAAGAACGTACACGATCTAGGCCCTGGGCTAGGCTTAGCTTGTTCTAACGGTTTTCCGTTGTGGAAAACTATTATCGACAACAAACTATACCGATGGAAAAGAATGTGGCAAACAAAACTTACAGGCGCTTCTGTATTACTGACCCAGACGGTTTAGGATAACGATGGTTGTCGTCAATCGCTGCAAACTGGTTGTTGGAACATTGGGGGTGGTCAGAAAGTAATATTGTTTAAAAAGAAATTATTAAGAAGTGATTATGACTTTATGTGTATTGTTGAATCTCATTTAAGATGTAATGATGCTCTAAATATTCCAAACTATATATGGTTTAATCACAATAGATCATCTCTTCACAGTAGAGCAAAAAAGGGCTCAGGATATATTGGAATTCTTGTTCACAGACGCATTCTCAGCTCTTTTAATGTTAAAATTGTGGAAAAGGGGTATGATGGTATATTGTGGCTGAAACTTACAAATCAATTTTCAAAAAACTCTTTTTTATATGTTGTTGTTATCTCCCTCCGGAAAAACTCTAGCCGTGGTGTTAATGCTGAAGACTTTTTTGATGCACTAATTACAGGCATATAAATTTCAGGCATATAAATTTCAAGATAAGGGTAAACTACAGATCTGTGGTGATTTCAATGCTAGAATTGGAGACGTATAAATCCACAAGGACCATTTATTGACTTTAGTATAAGTGCAAACATATGCAGTCTCAATGGTAGAAACGATAACATAAAAGATAATTTTACTTGTGTATCTACAGGGAAATCAGTTGTTGATTATTTTATTTTCCCGTATGATGAACTTACGCTGTACTCCCTCTTTAAAGTATTACTTTTTCAAATCTCATAAAAACATATAATATTACTGTGAATGGTACTTTACCTGATCATTCCCTTTTATCCTGGGCATTTGCAACCAGTGATAGACTGTCATGTACTGTAATAACAACATAACCCATGAGCAATACAATGATTTTAAAAGTCTTGCAAAATTATTTGACCTGTGTGAAATACCACACAATCTTCTCATGGATGAATAAAGTATTTCTAAGGTGAGCGAATTGATCAATGAACTAAATTCAAACTTTGGAATTTAGGCTGAAGTTGACAGGGTGTATGATAAATTTGAAACCTTCATTAAGTCCGCTGTTAAGTACCTTTATAGAAAGGAAAAATTCTGACGTGGCAATAATAACATTTGAATTCGCCAAAACCCTGGTGGAATCAGTCTTTACAATTATTGTGGGATGATGTGTGTGGTAAACAAAGAATGGTTAAAATTCAAAATTTCTCATATGTGTAGTATTCTCTTTGTAAGCTATAAATCTGCTTATAAATTATTTGATAAAGCTGTGAGGAAAGCTAAACGCCAATTTCAATATAGTAAAATTAATAAGATTGATAAACTGTTAAGAGGGGATCAGAGTATGTTCTGGAAAGAGGTTGGTAAACTTGGTGTAAACAATATTTCCATGGAAATTGTAACCGATGATAGTGAACTAATAGGAAATGTAGATCAGGTATTAAACGAATGGTGTAATGAATTCAAGTCACTGTTTAATACTAATTCTAATGATTTTGACGATGTGTTTTTATTACATGTTAAAACCCAACTACAACGTCTTAAAGTTAATTCTTTCGATAACAATCATATTGCAGTGCTACTTGCCATAATAACCCTATTGGGTATACTGAAGTAATTGATGCAATCAACCGAGCTAAATTAAAGGCTGCTGGTATTGATGGCATTATTACAAAAATCCTTAAAAACAATACATCAGCAAATTTACTTCATGCCATGTTTCGAAATTATGTTGCTTGTGGTCTCTGCCCATCTAGATGGAAGCTCGGTTTAATTAACCCAATCCAAAATCTGGAAATAATGATCCAAGAGTACCGATGAGCTACAGAGGTATTACACAGTATGTAAAATTTATTTTGATGTGATTCGTAAAAGGCTTTCTGATTGGCTTGAAGAAAACAATATAATTCATGAAGAGCAAAATGGATGTATGCTGATGACATTGTGATACTTGCCGAAAATGAAAGCTCTCTTCAAAATATGTTAGATGCTGTTTCAAAATGGTCTATAAAAGGTGGCGCATGCCTAAATGACAAATTGTCCATTTTCGCAGAAAAAAATCGTAAAAAAACTAATAAACAGTTTAATTGCTGTAATTTTGACATTGATATTGTTAATGGTTATAAGTACCTTTTCATTTGGTTTGATGAATTCTTAGAACCTAATGTATCTGCCAGCAATCTGGCTGTGTCTGCATCTTGTGCACTTGGTGTTATTAGTAAAGATAAGGCTCTGGGAGGTATCAACTTTAATTCATTTAATACAAAACTCTTTGAGTCTCTTTTTAGTCCGATCTTAGATTATGGTAGTGGTGTTTGGGGTATGAGTACTATTCAATAAACTCTGTTTTTTACCATGCATGCCGTTTTTTCCTTGGGGTTGGGAAATATACTCCAAATGACGCTATACTTGGTGACATGAGATGGGATCCCCAATAGTGTGTCAGATGCAGTTTGTAGCTAGATTGTGGAGCCGTCTTTCAAAACTAGATGAAGACCGGTATCCAAGTAAAGCCTTCCAGTGGTCCCAACATTTAGCAAATAACAATGTAAAAAACTGGTGTCATGAAGTTAAATTGCTGTTCTCCAAAATGGACTGTGAACAAATTCTAAATGAAGCAGAACAAACAAATACTCGTAATTTGGTAAGTCATGCCCATAGCGCAGCTAAATTGTTTGTCGAAAACTGTTGGAAAGAAGCCATTTTCAGTGATCGCAGAAAGAATCCAAATTCGCACAATAAGCTGCGCACTTTTCGTTCATTTAAATCTAGTTATGGCATAGCTAGTTATGTAACCACTTTCATGAAGAAATTTAATAAAATAGGCGAGTGTTAGCCCTCTTAATGTCAGGTTGCGCCCCGATTACAATTGAAGTAGGGCGCTATAACAATATACCGGTTGATGATAGAAAATGCAGTCTGTGCAACTTGAACAGTATAGAAAATGTATTGCACTGCTTTACTGAATGTCCAAAATACAATGATTTCAGATCCCACCTGTACGATTATCAACCCATCCTTTGCAGATTTAACCTCTAATGACAAATTAAATTTTTTAATGAGCGATGGCAACCACTGTTATAGGGTAGCTAAATTTGCCTACCAAATCCTCTCCTTGCGACGGTCTATTGTGTTTAAGCAAATCATATTTTAAGAAATGTTTGTATGTTTTGTTTTTTAATCATGTTTTTTGCATGTGTTTTAAAAATGTCCTGTATTTCACTCATAAGCCAGAATTGGCTGGTCTCGGTTTTAATCTGACAGTGTGAAACAAATAATTAAAGAACTAACTAACTGACTACAATGAATAAAAGATGTAACCATGTTTAGTCTGTTATAAAAATGACAAACCTAAGCACTTAAAAAATAATTTACATAATATTATATGTTATTAAAAACAAATTTTAATGATAAACATTTAAAACATTTGAAATATAATGTATTATAAATAAATGTATACAAGATACAAGATTCTTTTATTGTCACTAGTACATAAAATACAAGTAAAATTCGTCTTCCCGATGCCAAAAATTAGTATAAAAGTTAGACATAAAATAATCGAAGTACATAAGTAAAACAGAATATGCAAAATGATACAATTATTTACAAGAATTACTGTAGTTAGTTAAGTGATATTAAAATATATATCAGGCAATATACTTTTTTGTTAATTGAATTAAGTAAGTTTATACATTATTAGTTTAAAAAATCACAATTATAATGTAATAATAAAATAAAAATAAAAATGTAATAAAAATGGAGTGCAATGAAGTATTAACAGTGACAAATGGAACATCGACATGAAAATAACCAAGAAGAAACATTCAAAGGATCAAAAGTGAGCAGTTTGAATTATTTCAAAACAGATTCCTTGAAAGTAGCAATAATAGGCTGAGGTTGAGAGGATCAGGAGGAGTGTTGAAAAGAAGAACAGCAAGATTGAAATAAGAAGTTTGAAAAATAAGTTTTACACTCTTTAGACTTGAGAAGGAATTGATGAACTATGTGTAGAATCAAGGTAATTCAACAGAAGGACGCACATCTCCACTCTCGAACATAGCGCGTGCGTACAGTCCTTTGATCTTTTCTGTGGCATCGACAATCCGATACTAGTTGCGAGTACAGCCGTCAATTATTAGTCTATGCGTGCCATTCGTTTTATGGTGTTAGTTTTTATTTGATTAATTTTGGGTACTTCGCAATGTCTGTTACATCTGATTTTTTTTTTACCGCGAGCTTGTTAAATGCTTCTATAAACTGCAATTTGATTTTTGAAAATTGACCGAGAAAATGAAAAGTTATAGCAATTTAAATTTTACGAATTTTATAAAATTTCACGTTCTTATGTAATATTAATCTGTCATTTTGACAATGTTGGCATAAGGTGCCGAAAACGAACATTTGAGTATATACAGGACATTTATTAATTTTTACTGCGAAGCGAGTCTCATGAACGACAATTCACCACAATTTTGGTAAAATTAATGTTGAAATGAAGAATTTATTTCAGTCTAATGTTAGTGCAAAATATCATTAGTCCTTTGTAATCACCGCACGACGCGCGATTATCATGGCAACTAACACGCGCGTGGTCTGGTTGCTAAGGTTTTTGTGACGTTCAGCCTGTAGGGACGCACGTGCGCCTAGAATGTCGATGCCAGAGTTATAACCTTTGATGTCCCGAGATGTGCGTCCTTCTGATGAATTGCCTTGGTAGAATGAAGACCAGCGTCCACACAGTGGACATGGATTTCATCAGGAGAAAGTAGTAAATCAAGCTAATTCCAACAATTAAAAATGTCTTTCAACTGCAACAAAGACCTTTAAGGTGAGACTTTTTTAATACCTTGTTTCGTGAAACCCTAAGGAAAAAAATATACATATCTTATTTTTGTAGATTTCAAGGCAGCGGTGGGCGTAATAAAAAAGAAAGAAAACATTTTATTCTTTTTCTGAATTTTCCTATTTTTGTGGTGGCAGGTACGCTAATTGGACAAAAATATGGTTATATTATAATTATCTTCATTATTGGCCTGCAGAGGATTGATTCGCTAAACAAGGTATAAAAAATGTCTCGTCTAGTTAACATCATACCATTCATTAGACCACTAATATTTCATTTATTTAATAATTAAATGGTCTTTCTGTGTCTTTTCCAGTTATAAATGGTCAGAACAATCCTAATGTTACTATACAAAATGCTACTGTTACATTAGGGGAAGATGCCACCATCAACTGTTTCTACACAATATATGGTGAAAGAACCCTATTAGCTGTTCATTGTTACAGCAGCAATTCTATAGGAGATGAAGGGGATCTGCTTGTTAGTTCTTCTATTGGCTCAAATCCCAACGGCAGATACAGTGTCGACGTCTCACAAGCTGGTGTAGCTACTCTCAATATTGTAAATACATTAAAGTCAGATGATGGATTCTATCAATGTACAATTGTTGATTCAGTTGGTATCAGTGGCAATCATTTTGGCAGTCTAACAGTCCAATGTAAGTATCATTTGAATTGTTTATTAATAGTCAGTGATATTTTTAATGAGAAATTTATTTTTTTCTTGTTACTGATATTAGATTGGATTTTTATTCAGTCACTCTGATTTTAATACTTTCCTTAGAATCATAAGCAAAATATAGAATGGACAATTTGGTCCCCCTTTTTTTTCTTTTATGTACCCATATCAGACTGTCCAAAATCAAAATTAACAAAATTATTTGGCCATTTGGTTGTAAAATTATCAGGGTTTTACAAAACAAAGACAAAAGGACCGCAAAAAAGACTTCCATTTTTAAAAATCTTTGAAAATATTACTAGAATCTCATAAAACCATTGTCATGCGTATCTTCATTTAAATGGGATTATGAAGATTATGGGTTTGGCGCAGCGATTTCCACACTGACCATTCTCGGCCGGCCATGCGTAATTTTGGTTCCTATGAACAATAGAAACCTATCCATTTGTCATTGTATGTTACAACGTCAGTGTTTATGTTGTGCTGACGCAGTGACATTTTATAAACAAGCGTTTCCTTACTTTCCTATACCCAACCAGAGTTTTTCCCTATTTAACATTTTTTTTCCCTATTTAACATATTTTTACAAATATTAAAGCCAAAAATTATGACAGACTATACCCCCACCCCTGAAGACTACCAAAACTGTATGGTAGTCAAAGCCATTTGTGGAATGCGGTATCTGTCACTGAAAACGGTCTGTGGACTCGAGGGAATGTCCTACAATCATCAAAATACCTACCTACAATGCAAAACCTCAATCTGACAATCGCCATGAAGACAACTGATGTTTATGGCCTCGAAGATAATCAGAGAAAGGAAACATTCCGCTGCCTGCCTAAAGGAATAAGAGTGGTTGTATTTTTTTGTTCAAATCATGTTTAAACACTCTGTGTAATTGAAATCTAATTAGGGTCAAAATAGAAAGCTCAACAAACAAACGACAAACTCAACAAACAAAAGACAAACTCAACAAACAACAGACAATCTCAACAAACAACAGACAATCTCAACAAATGAAAGACAAACTCAAAAAAATAATTTTTCCCATCTAACAAACTACAACTAACCATTACACCACCAGGGAGCAAAGAAGAATTTCCCATTTAGACATTCCCGTCCACCAAATTACTACCGGTCATCAACAGACAGGTTCAACGTGCAAATTTCACTGCCGCCACAGGCCAGCCAAGGACAGTTTGCCATTTGGACAATCTCACCCAACAAACTAAAAAACTGGCCATCAAAGCAGACATGCCAACCACTCCGATTTTGGCGGAGTTACTCTATTTATTTAAGCAAAACTCCACACTCTGATTTTGGGTCGAAAATCTCCACTTTTTACTGAAAAGCTGAAAGAAATCGCGCATTTCCGAATGAAAATGATAATCCTATGATTTAGATAAGAACAAGAACACTCAATTTCGTCCTGAAAACAGCGCTCTGAACTATATACGAAATAGAAATTCGTGCTCTACGGTCTACTGATTTTGAAAAATACCAATTTCATTGACCAAATCGCTGTCAGAGTTGCACTCTGAACTGTGTACAAAAAATTAATTCGTGCTCCACGGTCTACTGATTTCGAGAAAACAAATTTCATTGGCCAAATTGATGTCAACAGTCAGAGTTGCACTGTATAGTGCTCCATGGTCTACTGATTTTGTAACAAGTCTAGTAAAGCGCGATTTCGAAAATGGATTTCGATGAGAGTGATATGGATGTAGGCCTAGGCATTGCTCGAAAAACGAGTAGTACTGTAGTGTTGAGCTTCCTCCAAAAAGAAGCTAAAACACATGCAAACATGCAAGTTAATAACGGAAAGTATCCTGTCAGTGGCCCTGTCAGTTTGAAATCAAAACTGACGCCTAAGGTATGCTCATTGTGATTGGTGCGGTTTTAATTTTCTGCGTAGGCCTAGGGCCTAGTCTTTCACAGCGGTAGTGCTGATTGTGAATGGTTACATTTTACAATCCAATCACATTGGTACCATGTCTTAGGAATACTTCTCACATTGCCAAAACTTCGTTGAGGAGTTTTTCAGACTCTTTTTGTTGGCCTTGTAGGGTTGGCATGTCTGACAAAGAACAAACTCGCAAAAATACTAAATATTTTTTAACGTTGGAGGCAGCAACATTAGAGCATTGCATTAGTAATTCGAATCACATTATCTTACTTGAAACTCTGGTATATTATTTATTTATTATTTATTCTGTCTTTCTACTGCATGCACTTTCAGTACTTGTGTACTGTTTTTCAAAGTGGTACAGTTTCATAAAATACAAAAGTTAAAAGAAAAGTAATTAAAAAACAAACATATATATAAATAGATATCATAATAAAAGTTATTAAGAATTAAAAGAGTTTTTAAAAAATATAATAGACATGTTCATGAAATTTGTTGTTGTTTTGTGTGGAAGTTCATCCACAACTTTGTTGAACGATACAAAAAAGTTCTCTTGCCTTGACAGTTATTCCATTGTGGTACAAAAAGGTTATTATGAGATTGACTACGTGTACATTTTGAATGGGATTCGATATTAAATTTAAATTTAGATGATAAATAAGATGG